TCTCACACACTCTCTCAATTTCTGGTTGTCAGATCGAATAAATTGAAGAATATCAAATGATAAAAATTAACAAAAGATGTGTGGAGCGTAAAAATGTGTGTGTATAGCACTACCCTATTTGTATTAGTCTCTATTTATTATTACTCTTCCATTTTTCTTGTAACAAAATTACATTGAGGACGCAACTCGATTTGGGCTTATTCAAATTGGCTAGGGTAAAACACAAAGTTCTAAGCAAACATGTAACAATATTAAAAAAAAAACAACCAGTTTAAGAAGCTAGAAAATTTTCCCAAAATTATCAAATACTAATGCAACATTAAAATATCATGTAATATAATCTTTTTTCCTTTTGTCTTCATAACTTTACTTTTAGTAACTATCACATTGAATTATACAATATGTTTTTCTTTAAAATGTTGTACAATTGTTTGGATCTGATTTTGCACGCACTCAGTCCATGTACTTTAAGCTATTGGATGAGAGGAATACTAAGAATCAGGAATTGATTTCGGGATAAAGGTTGAATCAATCACATAATCATCTAGGTTTAGAGTCCTAGTCGAAGACGGCGAGATCCTGCGACAATCGAGTTTCGACTGAGAATAATTCCGAGTCTATTTAAAGAATATGCTGAAGAATATTAGAATTATACTATTCGGTAGACTTGGCCATCACGAAATTTATCCCTATAAATACAAGAGATTTTGTAACATAGAGAACCCCTTCAACTCAATAAACAACTCAAAACGCTCTATGCGAAAACCTCGCTTTACATGAAACACTTCTCACACCTTTAAGAAAAATACTAGCTACCCTTACCCACCTCTCCCACGTCAACACACTTTCAGTTTGGATAAGTGAACAACAATGTGTTGACAATCGGCGACACCTTTAGTTTAGACAAGTAAACAGCTCTGGTGCCGTAGAAGCAAGCAACATAGAAGCACCTTCAGTTGGACTACTTCTAAGTTGGTTGATTACATATCCAAGTTTCAGCAGGCAAAGAATTCTTAATTCATTTGCCCAAAGACGTCACTTCATTAACTTCCCAGTGAAGTGAAGTGTTCTATGACTCGTTACTCTCAAGTGCATTTTGCAGTTCAACATTCAAATAGCCGAACCATGTTCACCATTAAAACTCTCATCTCCTTGGAGCACATGTGCCTTTACAGCCTGATACCGATTCAGCGCACCTATATTCTCACATTTATAATCGAAGTGGCCGAACTTGGTGCAGAAGATCTTGAACTTCGCAGTGAACTAGGCCACCTTCTCTTCTGGTATGGAATCCATCATTGTATGATAAAACATCAAACTTTATTGATTGATAATTGATAAGATAACAAACCTAAGGTCTAAACATCCATCTTTTTTAATTACAAGCGATATTTTACACTAATCTACATTAAGAGAGGGGAGGGATGTGTGGAGCAAAAAATAATCAAGAAAATTATGGAGGCGACACATGTACTTTTCGGTGAAAAGGATAAAATTATCCACAAGGCACACCGGGATTCCCATGCACATGTAACAGACAATAACGGCTCAATCAAGGTCAAATGTGATCAAAATGGTATTTATTCAAAACTCTTTCATTACTCATCATCAAATCCTCACCCACAAGGTAACTCCCAATTATTTTTTTCAAATTGGGATTAATTACCAAATTAATTGAATTGCAAGATATTATTTGACATAATATCTTGCAATTATATTCAAAATACCACCATAAGTGGCCGGTCCCTTTTTCTCCAAATAGGGCCGGCCACACCCTATATATAGCCTCTCATTTTCTCCAAAAACCTAAGTCTAATTCTCTCCCAAAAATTCTCTAAACACTTTCTCTCAAATTCTAACTTTGGCATTGGAGATTCTTCGGCCAAAACACCCCCCTCCAAAATCATCATGGGCGCGTGAGACTCTTGGCCTTGATCTTAAGTGTTACTTGTTTTGCAGGTACATTTTCGTCCAAGAAGAAGAAGATGGAAATTTGCATAATTAAAAAACTAAGAAAACTAACAAAATAAAGAAAACGTCTTTGAAACTTAAAACCCTAATAAAAATTTGTAAACAATGAAATTTAGCTGAAAAGTCCTCTATTAGAACAAAGTGGTGAGTTTGATGTGTGTCGCAGTTTCAAAACAACGGATTATGAACCCAAGTCGTACACCAAAGCCCAAATTTGCAAAGCTTTGTTCTTACTACCCGATTTGCGCCTTTGGACTTGATCTTCAGTCCATTAGGCATATGATCTACATCAACTTTTATCTTGTCAAGAAATTGTTTTTAGCCTGAACTCGAGCCAATTATAAATAGTAGTAACTTCTATATTGTTATAAGTTATAATTTTTTAGATTTCGTCTTAAAAAATTTACCTCCACATGGTAATAATTGTCAATAAGAACATAACTCTTTATGTATCTTCCTAACCACTAATAGCTACTTAAGGCTATGTCTATTTTCCTGATGCCTTTATATCTGTACAATTTTATTAAGAATAACTCTTGAGTTAAAAAATAATTATTATAACTTACACCTTTGTAAAGTAATAACTTTGTTGTAATAATAACATTGTTTAATTTGGTACCAACATTATTACAACAGAAATGTTTTTAAGTTAATCAGGAGAGAGAAAATAATGAAAGGATGGCCATCCGAACCCAATTGAATTTAAATATGATGATGATGATCAATGAGACTCTGTTGTTGTGGGGTTGAGACTTGAAGATCGACTTTCAGAGTTGAGATGGAGAAAGGCAGTCAAACCCAACAAAGGTCATAATCAACTTTTACAAGGCGTGCATGCATGACTCATGATAGTCACTCAACTCCATCAGCACATCTCATCAAGTTCTCATCCGCTCATTCAATTCCTCACTCTCCTGTTTTTTTAGTGTGGGGTGAAGCTACCCTCGCACTATTCTTATTTTTTACATTCTTTTTAATTTTGTATTGTTTAGTGTGGGATGAAACTACCCGCGTACTATTCTTATTTTTCACATTCTTTTTAATTTTGTATTGTCTAATCGAATGAATTTCAAAAAAATTAAATGATATAAAATAACCAAAAGTACATAAGAGGCAAAATAAGGGTACGTATGTAAACAACACCACTTTTTACATTTTGACTCTTTCATTTTTCTTTACTATTGTAATTCAAACTTTTATTTGCTGCCTAGTCTAGGGCATCATTACAGTATTATCGGATGTTCTCAAAGAAACGTGCTATTCTATTGGAAACAATGACAAGTACCCAATAGATGAAAAAGGAAGAAAAATAACAAAAGAATAGAAAAAGTAAAACTCAATTATCTCCCAGCGGGTTCATATTGAAGGTGTCTTATATGCTTGACGACATTTTGTTTTCCTGACAAATTACCACACTTAAAAAAAATAAAATAAAAAAGTCAATTGGTGGCAAGTCATGGTTATCCACCTCTTTCGAGAGTCGGAAGACTCACAGATACATTTCAGCTTCCCTCTGGCCACAAGTCTGACTTCCACACCAACAACAGGTTTTGAACCCAAGACCTCCAGCAGCGGGTGTCAAATTACCAAACTTTGACATTGGTGACTTTTTTTCAGAGTCGTTTGTCTCCCACACCACTAGAATTCACTGGACTGGCCTAATGGTAGTATAGTCTCGTATTATTAGTCGCAGCGACTAATTTTAATGAAATTACGAGGGACTCGCCTTGACTAAATGTCTTAGCTATCCGGTCTTAACGAGACTAGCTCCCAGAAAGTAGAGGACCATCCAGTGCTCATACCTTCTTTTGTATCTCTCTTATTTTTTGGTTGACAAAAAAATTATAGAATTTCTTGTGATCTTGGGTTGTGGTTTGTTGGGAATTTTGGTTTTTTATTGAGAATTTCTTGAGATCTCTGGGTTTTGATTTGATGAGATCATTCGGAGAAAGAAGATGGCTTAGTCTGTCGTTTAGTCTGATACTGCACCAAATGTTTTTCTATTGTTATCTTGCCAAGTCAATCCAACTTAATCCTTAAAGTTAGTCTAGTACGAAATAGTTCAGTGCAACAAACACACACTTATTGCTTTTGTGAGATGTTAATACAATTATTTGCAATCAAGGAGCCAGATAACATCCATCGGTCGGAATGCCTTTGCAGAACTTGGGCACTTGTCAAGATTGAATTGATAGAATTTGGAATGTTGCTATTACATAAATAATATAGTTTTATTTGGTCGGTTTAGATATCTCTAAAATGATTCCATACTTATGGACTTTTATGCATGATTTATACGTAAAGAAGAAGAAAAAGAAGAGGATGGAAGAATGATTAATGGAAAAGGATTGGAGCCCAAGGGGAGTGGGGGCGGGGGACGGGGATATTTGGGCAAAGCAGAGGCAATTGATAAGGTTTGTGAAAAAATCATTGTTAAATTGTCTGGCAGTCAGCCCCATCGGAATCATCAGAATCATTGCATGCATCGTAATCCGACCGACCGAACGACCTACAACTACCCACTAGGCCCCCAAAATTTCCAAGTTGCTAAGCACACTAAGACAATTGTTTTATGCCTTTGATGCTGCTTGATGATGGGTAACTGTGATCCGTTAATAAACGTGGGTTCCATAAATTTCCTATTTAACAGTGTGCACTCAAAGACGCGCGTGGATGGCTGTCCAATAACATTGAAGTACTCATTGATGCCCTTTTACAGTCAACAAACTTGATTAATTTAGCATTATTTACTGAGCACGAGTAATGTAACCGAAGATGATTAGTTCGTAAGCAAGAGAGAGGATAAATATTAAGAAAAATAGAAATGATTCCTTCTTCTTAGTGTGGTGCATCATGCATGCATGCATTCACGTACATATTATATTAGTTTGTTAGTCCTTTAAATGAGTTAAACTAGGCAGGAGTTAAGGCTGAGCATCAATCAACCAGACATAACACGAAGAGAGTGCAGAATATGTCCCTTATTCAACTACAAAATCCCAATCAAAAGTAAAAAAGAATCCCCTAAATTTGCTTTCCAAAGATAAATAACATTAATTAATGGCAGCGAATGCTTAAGAAACTTAAACAGATAATAATCGTGTACCAAAATTGGAGGAGAAGGCGTTGAACATGTGTTCGAGAGCCACCTCCCTCAACCAATACCCAAACAAATCTGTTACATATGTTTAGGCTCAGATAGATTTGGGGCTTTATATATGCCTTTTATGCATTTGTCTACCAACATTGTATACTTCTCTTTTGAGAGGAATAAACTCGATTCAAATCTAATAAATCTTGCAAAATGTAATACACAGCACCACAATTACATGCAATGCAATCGCACCTTAATCTCAGTCAGCTGCAACTTGCGCTTTCAATTTCAACAGCAGCAATCACACTCCTGAAACAGAAACATTCAAAGCTTTTACGGCATTATGCAATAATCAGTTCTTTGAGCAACATAGCAAACAAGTAAGCAGATGAGGTTAATGGAGCATACTTATATCAAACTAACCGTTAGGGGTTCAACTCTATGTGATTTAAGAATCCAAGGGACAGGGTTGACACTTCAGAGAGAGATAAAGTTTACGAAAAAAATCTATTTACCAGAGAAGAAATAACCATGGTTTCAACACTGGCGTACTTTGCATGTAAAATATAAAGAATACCTCTTTAAAATCGGGTTGTAAACCAACCATATCCACTCCAATAAACTTCTTTTGTCGTCTATTTCCACGTCCCTTCAAGCAATGTCAATCAATTTGAATTTTGAACTGAAACCAAAAAACAACCTTGCGGCAATAACTCATCTATATAACTGAGGTGATTTACCATGATCGAGTCGATGGCCACAATTGAGGCAAACATCTAAACCAACACAGATCTGAAGTATGCCACAAGAAGAACTGAACGACCAAGAGATAAGCATCAAGCCAGAGAAATTCATTGAAAAGATGGTGCATCTTCATAAAATCTCACATTAAATATTTTGATATGGACTCACACTCTTTTAAGTCATCTTCATTTTCAACCTTACATAATCATATCGATGTTTCCAATGAGTAACTTCTTCATTGTATAACTACTTTCAATGATCTATGAAAGAACTACTACTAAGAGAGGGGAAGTGGAACGAGATCATTTTCTATCCATAAACATTTATTTCTCATTCCAGGATATGGTAATGACTTTCCCCTGGTAACAAGAAAAATAGTCTGTTTTTTAGCTGTGAATGTATGATACTTGTTTAGGTGATCACTAGCATACAAAAGGACAAATACTTGACCCTGATCACAGTAAAAAACAAATTGCTCATTGTAACTCATGCACTGTATCAAACTTGCACGAAGACAGAAAAGACAGAAACTTGATGTTCTATAAATGTAATTTATGGCATCTTATAAATCACCAATATGCATAACTGAAGCTGGCGAGTCAGACAACAAAATAGACGATATATGCCCTAATATGGAACAAATAAAAGTAACTAACTCCAGCATCGACAAGGATAAGGTCATAAAATAACAGAGTGAGAAATCTACAAACCGAATATCAGCCCATCAAAGATTGAAAACCACTCAGGATTTATTAGCATTTGAGTCTAAATATGGGAAATCGACCTTTTGTTCCAAAGGATACTTAACAGGAAAGTGATCGAACTTTCAGAGTTTGGCAGCCCAAACTCATGCACCAAACATTGACCGAGTAGTTTTCATATGTATTTTGAAAATTAATTAGACGCCTACTGATGTACAGACTTTCAACTTAAAAACCTACGAAGACCAAAAAGAACGCGACTGACAACCAGCTGTTTCCAATTTTTTTTTTCTTTCCATTTTGAGTGATAAGATTTGCTACCTTGTCACATTTCTGCCATCTTAAAAGACATTAGAAATAGGTTCTTATTACAAAGTATAGCCCTAACTGAAATCTTTCTCTTTAGAGCTAAATGTCAACATCCCTCACAAATCAATTGAAAAAATTGGCAATCCTAATCTTCTTCTTACCACTTGCATGTCCAAGGTATTTCAAGAAGTCAATGTTTAGCATTGAAAAATGCCATCGTATTATCTTTATTTCTACTTCCAAACCTAGAGGATTGGGTGGCAAATGGTATGAACTCAAATGACCTTATCTTAACACTTGATCATCCAACCAAAATATACAATATGAATAATGGTGCCTGATAACTTAATGCAGAATTAATCGAAGGATCAAGTAAACTCAACGAAAGTAGAGTTGGTCAGCAAAATAATGCCACAACCAGCCATTAGTTTTGGACTTGTCATAATAAAATCCAAGAAAGTATCAGTTTAAAGAACTAGCAGCTGACAGTTTCAAAAGCTAGTAGTAGTACATATATATTTACCAAGATATAAAGCATGTACAAGCATACAGAATCAAGAATTAGCACCTATAAGACTTACAAATATAGACTGCTCTTTGGCATACAAAAAGGACCCTGTGCCATGGCATAACACCAGAAACTATCCTCAATATATCCTTTGAAAGAGAACAACACCGAAAGATTCTTCCATGGAAAGTTCAATTCTTGGAAAGAGGACAAAAAGGTGCTCTTATAGATAGCCCAGATGCCATACATCAAATTTCAGTACCTTTTTACAGAATGAATTCAAAAATGCTTTTAACAGCAGTCAGAACTTCATACATGGTTGCCAAACACAGCCATATGAACTAAATTCGGAAACCTTCTGCAAACAAAAAAGTTTGCAGGATGATGATGAGGAACCTTGTATTATATTGATCTATATCTCCAGGAAACAGCTTTTTGTTTATCTCAACCTTCTCCTTCTAGGTTCAGATGTATATCCATTGTTTGAATCAGAACCTCTTGAATTAGTTCTCCTAGAAGATGAGGGATGCAATGCAAAATTTGTTTCTGAACCTGTTGGCTGATCCACAATAATGGTATCAGTTCTTATAAAGGAAGCAGAGGGGAGCGCATCAGAGTTGATTTCAGCAGCAGTATCAGAAGTCTGCGTTTCTGGTTGTATAACTGCAGCAATGCTCACAGATGTATCTCCATTATCAATATGTAAAGATTGATGACGGTTTCTTCTAACATGGTGACCATTACTATATTCCTCGAGGTCCTCGACTAATCTTTCTGCTGAATCCAATGCAGTATTCAATGCTGATGAAAGGGAAGATACTGAAGCGGCTCCTTGTAGTAATAATCTTGAAACTTGAAGGGAATCATGCTGGTGTTGGTTTCTTGTCTCAGTGGCAGGTGATGCCTGTGATGTCTGGTCCTGGCTGGGCACGAAACTAGTTCTTTCAGCCATGACTTGTGCATGGAAACTATCCCGTGACCGTCTTCTCTCCCCCATTGAACCAACTATGTTGCTAAGTTGCTGAATCCTTTCTTCAATCAATGTAGAAGATGGGCCCCGCCTAATACGCTGCTGCCTCAAACCCTCAATCCTGTGTGCAGGGGGCCTAGGAGGGGCCTTTGAAACAGACTCGTTTGACTTGCGAAAACATTTACCATCCCCATTCCCGTAAATTGGAATCAGACTTGTATCAGTTACTTCTCCCTTACACACGGGGCATTCCTTTGCATTTGAATCCGCATACGACAACTGATAGAAGCAAGGCCAACAAAACAAATGACCGCAACATGTCAATATAGGATCTCTTGCCATATCCAAGCATATATGACAATCAAAAAAGCTCCCAGTATGAGGCTCTGCCTTTTTCACATTTGTATCCATCCCCAGTGCCTTGGCTATCAAATGCATGTTATCACCTCTGTTGGTTTTGCCAGATTCCACTGTTTCTCGGGCAGCTGGAGCATCGTCCTCATTCTGACTGTGTTCGTTTTGTGTATCAGAAGCAACAACACCAGCAGTGATATTCACAATTTGAGGGGAAATTTGAGCTTGTCGCCACCTCTGACGCTGCCTAGCCCTGGAAGTGACTGCTTCTAGTTGTCTGATACGTTCTTCAATGCGTCCATGGGCAGTTTCAAGCTCATCGAGTATGTTATCTAATCCGATCACCGAATCAGGCAGTTGGTCTAAAGGCTCTTGGTTTAAATCCAAAATCATGATTTCTTCCCTTATATTACTCCCCATCTCCATATAATTCCACGAATCTTATTCCTTTAGGAACAAGAACCCAGTTGAATCCAGAACAATTTCAGTCACCCACTTGCAGAAAATAAGCAACAAACAAGGTTACTTTCCTGCCAAACATGCAAAAACAATGTCATTGGATTTAAAGGGGTATGCTTCATCACTTCAATACAACCAAAACAAATTAAACAAAACCTTTTATCTCATACATTACATAACCCTGGTAAAAAAAAATCCTTGAAAACTGAAAACTCAAACATACATCACCATTTTCTAATTAATTATGCTTTGATTCAGGAAAATTGCAAGCCCTGCGTAAGTTCAGGCAAGCAACGAATCAAGAAATATCAACAAGGAAAGATTTCCAATTGGCAGATGATCAGATTTATGTACCTTTAAACATTATATATGATATATCGTCGTTGAACAGAGAGAACAACTACAGGGGAAAAATTAAAAAAGAAAGAAGAAAATAATTGAATAAAGCTATACCTATATGTATATGTATAGGTATAGGATCGGCCAAGGACGCAGGAGCCAGCTGCTTCTTTTATTTCTTCTTTCCTCTGTGTTTTGTGTATGAGAGAGAGAGAGGCGCCAATGGCGGATAAGCGACTGGGAATATACCGCCTTGGAGCCAAGCCGGTTCATGACCATAACGTGTTCTTTCTTGGTGCCGTTAGGTTTCCCTCCGGGTCCGCTGGGAGACGGCCCATACTCACTTAGGCCCGTCAATTGCCCTGCCTCAAACCTTGACTTTGAGCCCAATATAGGCTGCAGGCTGCTATTCTTCAATCTTGATATTTTCTCATTCATTAATTTTAAACTTTTTTTTGGGAACTAATAAAAAGTCCCTCACAATTTTTTTTTTTTAATAGAATAACACTTAAAACAACTTTACTTATTATTAAGGATGTTCTTTATGTTATAAGCACAAAGAACGAAAAAAAGAACCACACTTCAAGAGGGTTTTAAATGAAAAGAAAATGGCCTTAATAATTTAGAAAGTGTCCTTAATAATAAAAAAAAAAAGTGCAATGATAAAGAAAGTTGTTTAAGAATTTTTGCACAAATAAGCCGCAAAGCCGCGAGGATGGCATAAGTAGAGCCACTCTTTGTACACACCCAACTTGGTTGCATTAACGACATATGAAGGTCTCGCTGCTGGTAGGCCCCGGAGGAAGTGAGAAGGAGAGAACGAGTTGGTGAGGGTGGGAGTGATGAGTATGAACCAATGGCTTTGAAGAACAAGTTGTTTGGAGATCAGTCTTGCAATCTCGGCAGTGGTAGGAAAATCCATTTCCGTGCTTCATGCATGCACCGCAATTGAAGACCCCATCACAATATATTGGGGTTGGGAGCAAAGTACGTAGGACACGTTCTTTCTCATCAAACGGATGCGTGATTTGCTGAGGCATTTGTGAACATGACACGGGAAGCAAGCAAGTGCATGGCGTGCAACTGTATATCCATCCGCCAGAGGCATCTAGTTTGCAGGCTACGCATGAGGCCGCTAGTCGCTGCCCATTTAAGATTTTCTGTTGGGGCTGTGGGTGATGAAGATTAGAAAGGATCAAGGGATGTGAGTGGCTAAAATGTTGAAGCAAGGCCTGAGGTTGAGGTTGACCAGCTACCTGCATGATCATATCTCTCGTTCCCTCACTCTCTCACACACGCACAGAGGGAGGAACTTGTGTTTCAGATGATCTCTACCTAACTTCCTTGTCTCTCAACTGGATAATTAAATCGGTAGGTGCTCTTAATTATGATAATTTCGTCCTCTTCAGCCCTTCTGTGCAATGTATATCGATCGAATTAAGCCTAGTGGACTTAACTATATAATCAGACAGGTGAAATCGATTCTTTGAAACTAGTTAGTTAATTCCGAACTGGTTGGAAGGAAATTCTAGGGTGACTGTACACACATTGAAGTCGATCGATGAGCGTATCTCTCCAATGAGAGATTTTTCAATGTGACCGGTACACGAGGTGATATACCATGTATTACTATACAAATGGTGGGATATGTATGCTAAAAAGTTAATAACTTAAAAAATAAAATTTCTCACCACTTCTATTAAAACACATGGTGTACCATTTGTATTCCCCTCAAAACTAAAAATTTCTCCTCTCCAACAGCAAGCCTTGTTAAAAGTAATCGTACCGGATCGTCCGATCATCGATCTCAAGAGTTGTTTCTAATATATCTCCCCAGTGGGGCAAAGAAAACAATGAAATAGGCTACAACTACAAAATTATTAAGCATCCTCACTGAAATTATCTTGGATCATTTATCTTGAAACTTAAGTCAATGAGCCTACCTCTTAAGGAGCTGACATATATCCTGATAACACCATAGAATATTACTAGAAATTGAGTCCGCGCGATGCCGCGGGTTTTAAAACTGTGTTAAACATGTGAAATATATTAAATTTATTCTCATCTATATTAAAATTTATTTATTTACATTCTATGATTCTAATGTTCAATCATACTTCTATATGAACCCAAAGGAATGATTTTTGCATATACCTTGGTGGGTTCATTCCCCAGATGAGTTTCTCATATTCATCATCCATGTCATGCGAAAATCTCATGCTAACTTCTGCAGAAAGCGACCAAAAAAATGAAAAATAAAATTAGACACAAAGGTTGGAGAGAATATAAAACTAATTAGAGAGATTGAATAAATTCAAGAAAAAACATTTAAGAGAAATTGAATAAAGAAAAAAATCATCATTTCAATTATTTTTTCAGTCTTGCAATTGGGATTACACAGGAAATATAACTAAAACCCCCAACTTAGAAACTACAACTATTTTTACAAATTTCCATCACCCAATGTTGAAAAATGAAAATTAAGAAGCAACGTGGAAGCAGGCAGACAACAGAATAAAAGAGTGGAACATGCCAGAACCGAAACGTTAAAAATAGAACATACCCATTTCAAAGACCAAAATCCCAGAAAAACAGTATATTAGCACTCCATGCAGTACCCCAGAATCAAAAATTAGAAAAATTGAGTTTGATAACATTGTACCTTAAGCCTCTAAATTTCTAGTCAAAGGAAAATTAATACCACCTCTGCAAAAAATAATCAGAAGATAAAAACTCAAATTCATAAAGCATTTGTCCAAAGTATTTATTAGAGAAACTTACATGCTGATGAAGGTGTTGATCTGTTGTATCATGTTGCGAATATAATAGGTTCTCAGCATTCAAATGTTTTTCATACACACTGCAGAAAATCCGACCATAAAATTGCACAGAAAAATTTTAATAAAAAAATGTACAGAAAAATTTTAATAAAAAAATGTACAATGATAAATTCCAATCTATAGCACAATAAAGAACAAAGAAAATGTCACTTATTGTAAATCACCTGCTTTGCTTCATCATCGTCTGCACAATCTTCTACCGATTCATACCTAAATATCGATAAGATCAAACAAATAAATCCCCTGAACATATGCAAATCCAAACTCCAGCAGTTCTGAAGAAACCTAAAACAAAAATTGTTATTATCTTCTATATTATTTTGGATTTCAAATTGAACAAAAAAAAAAAAACCTAATTCAATGCACATAAATATTTCCAAGATACCTAACCCTCCATTTGGTTGCTGAGGAGACTGAAAAAAGAGTACAAATTTGAATAACATGATTTTAGTTGTTCGTATTACTAAAGAATTATAGAATAACCCAAATCAGCCAGTCAACTAAAACCAAAGATTTAAGTTCTGTTATTTCATTTTCTTTTCAAACCTTTTTATCAGCAACCCAAGAACAATTTCAGTCGAAGTTCTGTTAGTTGTTCACTATTGTTATTTTATGAGATTGTTTTGAGAACAAATCAATTTGGGTAGGAGTTTTGATGGAGTAACCAAACACAACTGCAAAATTGAAAAAGCTAAATTAGCAATTGTAATATGAAAGGGGTTGCACAAAAAGGTTCACACAACCAATACAAAAATCCTTATAAAAACGGAGTGTGACAAACAATTTCATAATTCACAAAAAATTGACACATTAGCCCACAATAGTTTATCGTCATAATAAAAGCGAGAAGAAACCCAAAAAATTACTCAAAAAAAAAAGGGAAAAAAAATCCAAACCTCGAGAGTTTGATTCTACCGCTGCACCTTGAGGATGTCCTTAAAGTCCTGTTAAAAAAAATTAAAAATGAAAGCCCAACATAAGCACCAACAGTGATGATGACAGAGGAGATAAACACCAAAAATGAAGAATAAGAAACTTCACAACCCATAAGCTAATTAGTATAGAAAATTATAATCAAATCCAAATAAAAGTGTAAACCCAAAATCTGATTTCAATATAATCAAACAACAAAAAAGCAAATTCAAGTCCAATATGATAAAAAACAAAACAAAGCTCTGAAATTTTGAAATTGGTCATAATATTCTCTCAATCTGTTGGTTTGCATCAGAGAAGCTTGGTTGCATGCAAACCCAAAATGATTTTGCACCTGCAAATATTATACTCGATGATCAAGTCCAATGAATTCAAAGATACAAAGAAACTAAACAAAATCTATACCTTTGTCTTTTCTCGGATATGAAATTTTTGAGAGCCCCATCCTCCTTTTCTTCAGTCCAGACAACAGATTGAGAAACCCCTTTACAGAATACACACATGCATGAGTCAGAGTCGCTTGATTTGACATTAGGTCATGAAAACGAAGAAAGGGAGAGGTGGCCGTGCTTTACCTTTATCAGTGACGGGATAAGTGGAGTCCTCCGTGAAGGCAGAGTCTTGATGATGAGTGCAGAGCCGATTTGAGCAAGGCACCGCGAGATGGTGATGGATCCTGATACAGTGTGGGGGTTGGATTTTTGGAGACGACTCAACTCAACAATCTCAAACTGCTGCTCCTCAGCTTCACAGATGCGAAGAGGCCTTCCAAATAGACCCAAATCCCAGACTCAGAGAGAGACAAATATTTGGAAATTTTTTATACAACTCTCTCACAGAAAGACAACAACGTTTTGGGATGACGACTCTCACAAAAATAGAACATCATTTGACAGCGAGAAAGCACAAAGCAAAACGAAATCGAAAGTTAAACCGAAGGAAGATGCAGGTGGAAAACGTTTGAGAGTGAGAGAAACACAGAGGGGTAAGCAACTGAGCAAATTTGCAAAAGAAAGAAGGAAAACGAAAGGTAAAGCAAACACAGTCAAAACAGGGCATCCAACGATGATCGACGCGTGGCCCAAATCGAAACCTCGAGAGTTCGTATAGCACACGGACGCGTGGACAGCAGGGCAAGGTAGTAACAAATACAACCAATAAAAAAAGTGAAACAAAGTCCAAGCCATGCATAACCGGCAGATAGAATCAAATGAGGGCAAATTCGGGATTTTACTATACAAAAAGAACAAAAAGTAATGGCTGAAGACTAACTTGAGGGGCATTTTCGTCCGCACACTGCCCTAGAACAGTAACCACATGTTTGGGTTTTAGTATATATAGAATATGCCTAATGTCTACAGTTTTAGAGAGTCCAACGGTTAATTTCACCCTAGTTAACTATAATTTCATTGGCCAGAGATGAGGATTCTAGAGAATATGAAGATATTACAGAGATATATGGTTATATAATGTAACCCTATATAAACACATAATTTCACGGTGGTATCTAAGTTGCAAAACATTAAATAAAATTAGCAGCTTGAAGTACTTGGGAAAACCAATCGGTTAAGTTGACATTGTCTTCCTATACATTCTCAACCACTTCATGCTACACAAAGGATATATACAAGGTATTAAGAAAGAGTGGGAAAGGATGCAAAAGTCAAATGAAATCTTGCATTTAATTAGTGTGGGTGTGTGTGTGTATATATATATATACACTGAATTTTTCAAGCATTATTGCAAGATCCAAGATCTCACATATTTATTTATACATTACTCTAACCGAAATCAATATTGTTAAAATGTGATATGTATAAATGAATGAAGAAGACAGAGAAATTCAGTGAGTTGACTACTGCATAATTGATAGACGGATTAACGAAATTCAGCGATGGACGTCGTTCTGGAGAGTCTCATCCCGCGATTGCTAAAGCCATTACTTGGATCATGCAGACGATGGCGGAGTTGACGGGGTAGCGTGGTCGAGGACTTGAGGTTGTGGAGGGCGGAAGATGCAGTGGCGAAGAAGATCCATGTTTGGCTAGATTTAAACGGACAAATTCTGTTTGGTTACAAAGATTGCAAAAGTATTGGAAAAAAATTTGTTTAAGAGTGTTTTAAAATAGTTGGTCCACATCAGTTGGTGAATAAAATGAGTATTGACTAGTCAGTATCAAGTATTATTCTATTATTATTATCCGACCACTTTATATGATCACATTTTAGATTAGTTGACCGCACGATGTGAGCATAACTAACTACCTAGCCAGCTACGTACGTACTACTCCAACTTCTTCATCATCTATAGTTATTGATTAATCCGTTAGAATTTAATTAGAACGTCGATCATCCAATCCAAGGAGAAATCAATTTAGAGTCGAAAGAAAGATCGATCGAGATGGTGATGGTGAAGCATTTCAACCTCTGCCATGAGTTATGCCCATTTCAAGTGCAAGAAGAAGATGATGAAATTATCATTTGCTCAGGATGTGACCTGGAGTTGATGATGAACTCGGGTGCTTCAGCTTACAAATGCAGCAAGTCCAAGTGCGAGTTTTACCTCCACGACTTGTGCTTCGAGCTTCCCCGACAAATAAAGCACAAGTCTCACCCCCAACACCCTCTCATTCCTCATCTCCACCCCTCCCTAAGAATATGGCGTGTTCAAATGCGATGCCTGCGCTGGATTCGGCTCTAATTGTTTCGCCTCCCACTGCAAATACGATCTCCATCTTCAGTCCGCTGCGTTGCCTGAAATTCTGAGCCTTCAGCATCATCATCACCATGAGCACACCCTCACTCCTAAATTCTTCACTGCCCCCGAATCACGAAAATGATCAAGACAAACAAAACATTTGCGAGTCCCAGAGGGCTGCTGGGTCTACTGCTGCAAAGATTGCGACTATACTAGTCATCTGGAGTGTTCCAATGATGACGATCGTTCTATGTCATCTTGAATATTCAGTTTTATTTTCCGCATGCAATTGACGTCATCGATCACTTACAGTATTATTACTTTGGCGTGTGATTTTCTTCCCTTAATTATCATAATAATCTCTGAATTGTTTTGGCTCTTGCATTGTTGCATCTGATTACGTATTTTGAAATGCGAAAAATGGTAACTGTTGTTACTGTGTGAAGTCGCCTTTGAAAAATTGATGCCAGCCCTGTGACCTGCATCAATTTCCTCTCGAGTATTAGGTTTCTTTTTTGCGAATTCAATCAACGTCGTCCCTATTCTTTTGCTCCGCACAACAAATTCATCCTCAACGTCCATTTTTTGTCGAAATAGCTGAAAGCTTTCAGATTACTCTCTGACTAAAGATTCAACTCCATCGCCATTACCTTCTAAAACCCTTAACCTAAAGCTCTAAATATTTTATCAAATGATTTCTTTTTCTATTACAAATAAACATTGTCAAGCTTCAAACCTTAATAATATACATTTACCTGTGTTTTTCAATTACATATATTCTAATGTTTCCAAGAAAACAAAATTATAAAGAGAGCCATCCATTTGAGCAAGCAATGGTGCTATTTACATTGAGAGATAAATAAGGCCATCCCTTGGGAATCAGGATCGACTATTCATTATTGTTGGAGGAGTGAGGGCCCTTCCTTTGTCCTCCAAGAATACGCGAGATCTGTAAACCTCTACTGAATGCTTGGTTGAAAAGCATTCGCGTCTGGAATTCGGAAACAAACGGAAACCAAGCCAAGAATGCAACCGGGGTAAAAAGAAGCAACCCCATGATTATTTCATAACCACGAGCAAGTGTTTCAACTGATCCCCAAAACCCTGCTCGTTTAATTACCGGCTTACAAGCTTGCGCAATCTGTAAAAACAAAACCACAAAATATGGAATTATTTAAAGAAAACAGGAAAGAATAAATTTGCAAAAGAGTAGACAGAAACTGATAAAAACAATTTACTGACCAAAAGCAATCCCCAACCAGTTGGCATGAAGGCAAGAATGCACACTACGACATCCCGAAGCGTCATATGAGGGAGCACTATCAAGGTAACGAATATAGCTAAAAATGTAATAAATATAAATCCCTTAACCAGTCGAAACAAAAGCTGATAATCTGCACTTAATCGTCGCCTTCCAGCAGACACAGCCTGAAAATAAAATCCAAGAGGCAAACATATTTACTTTTCGTTATCAGTCTGCCCAAACAAAACAGTTGGTAAAACCCAAGCATATTTTTCCTTGCATGCAAATATGCACATTTTAACATAACGTACACCACTATATTGACTCATAATCCCTGTATAAGCATTTGGCTTCTACGAACAGTACGTTAACACCAAGAATCTTTATTTAAATAAGCGGTTGTCTAAATTTTTCATGCATAAAAATCTCTAAAGTACGTGCACTGGTAGGCAGAAGAAATAATTTTCCAGCAAAACTTCATGCTCCAATCCACGAACTCTGTTAAAAAAAGTTCTGTTGTTTAATGCTGTATTTGAAAGTACAAAAAAAGTCAGCTGAACTTTTTCTCTGAAAGTACACGGAAGCAAACATGTGAACCATTTTGCTGTTGGTATTGACAGAAATATTTCCTTAACTTCTCAAAAGACAGATTTTGAATTTTCAAACCCAAAGCAAATGCAAAAAGCCTCAGTTTCTTCTCAGTGCAATAAAGAAGAAAGCTTCTCTATATGGTAAGTTCTACCCCTAAAACAACTCATGACTGACATCATATAATGCTGCAATAAATATAAATCTATAAACAAGGAAATACAGCTTCGCTTCGAGATATATGTTAGGAGTCCAGAAATTTTACTACACACCTTCATCAGACACAAAATCAAAATGATAACAAGCCACGAAACACCATATACCTGCACGTGCAGTGAAAAGTAAATTAATACACCCGTATTATGAATAAAACAGTTATTGGGAATGCATATATAAAGGTCAAGAAATGATATACCAGGAAACTTTTGTTGTTTGTGATGTTAAGGTGATAAACAAGCCCATACTGGTAAATGAAAAAGCGCAATGCTAATAATATCTCAGCAACGATACCACGCACCCCAGAGTAAAGAAGATGCTCATGTTCTTTTTCCCACCAGGATTCCCAACTTTTTTCAGGTGATACACCGATCCCTCCATGATTGTTTATCCACTTTTTCCAATCTGTCCAGTCATCGACGATCTTTTGCCACTCAAACCCAGATGGATTGAAGAGGAAAGGAGCAAAAAGCCATGTTCCAACCATGAACCATATCTGTATTGTAATGAGGATATATACAACTCCACTTTTATATGAACGACCAAATAGGTGGTACACAACAAGCAGAATCAGTAACTCAATGCCCTTGACAAAGTGACTTCTAGAGTAGAGTCTATAGTTATCAGCAAATTTGGCATGGAACACTACAAAGCTACGACCCGTTCCTCTGTATTCTGCACCTCCATGAAGCAAAGTCTTTCCATAATAGTGGGTCTTTGTACCAAGAGAAAATGTGAAAAACACCGGGGCCAATTGTAATTGCATCAATACAAAATCGCTAAGTGCAGTGCGGAACCCCTTTTCCAAACCAATTTCCATAACCATAGGCAAGGCCATCAAAAATCCAATTTGCACAACAGACTGAGAAGCAAGAGCTACTTGAAGAGGCTTATTGTTTCGAATGCCTCGCTGAGTGCTCAGCCCTTTTTCAAGTCCGCTGACAACAAGATAAAGGCGACCGTAGAGAAACACATAGACCGTAAGCACAGTCAACTGTCAAACCAGAAATAAAACATTTGAGATAACGGGAAAGGGAGATTACATTATTAATTGAAGAAAGAGGTAGACATGTACGTACTAAAGTGCTGAAATAGAAACCAATTGTGGTGACATAGCAGGATAACATTCTAAAGAAATCAAATCGATGTCCAAGCCTATAGATGTCACGACTCAGTGTCTGTTCGCCATTCCCATTAGCTATTTTTGCCTCAAAAATTGAGATCTGGTTGAGGCCAACATCTCGTCCCTTACCTACTTGTATATATTCATGATGAGTGACACTACCTTCGCGTAATGTAGAATTGAAACCTGCAGATAGCAAATATGTTAAATTGGTTTACTGTCATTCTTGGGGGCGGGGGAGTCTTGAACAAAGCAATAAGAATGCCTGCAAATATGTCCTCGCTTAAGTTGATGACTTGGGAAGCTTTGCTGACACCTCCTCTAGTCAGATGAAACAGTCGATCAAATACATCTGGGTGACCATAGTGGAATCGAACTCTGAACGAGCAACAACAATTATGGAGTCAGCAGACTTCAACTAGACAAGAAAACATATGGTAGCTGAAAAGGTGTGAATTGTGTTTCTGGAAAAACTTCAAGAAAAGCACAACAAAAATAAACAATATCTAACATCATACACTTGCGTAGTTCACAAAATCAATCTCTATATCAATTTTTTGCGTACACTTAATTCCAACTAATATTTTACCTCAAAAAAATTTAAAAAATCCAACTAATATTGGGTTATGAGTTTAATAGAAAACATGAATTAGTAATTGATCATTACTAAACATAAGTTTCTCCATGTTTCCTTTATGTTTTAATAACTTGGTTGTTCAAGCAAGGTAACTAGTAATGTTACAAGTGAACTTTGGTTTACACATTCAGTAATGTGGCCCAGTTTTGTGTGTGTGTGTGTGTGGTGGGGAGGGGTTAGCAGGCCAACTCCTAAGCTGCCCAAGGCTTCTTAGCTTTCCGATGTGCCTTCACATCCTCACACGCCCCCTCATGTGTGGAGAAATTTCTAGCCTAACACATCAAATTTAATTAGGTGAGATGAAGCACATGCGGCAGTTGAGCATCACAAGCGGAAAAAAACTTGGCTTTGATACCAAAAAGGAAGTTGAGGTTCCACCCGAAAACAATTGGCAATGGGTGGAGTATCCCAATTCCTTGTAAGCCCATGCAAGGTTTCTTAACTTTCCGATGTGGGACGTTCTTCACATCCTCACATATTTTAACCTGCTGAGAGTGGACTAAATTCAACAAAAACAATAAAGCAGGAATAATCAAGAAAAAAAAATCCATGTTGTACTTTTGACTGAAAATAAATATAACCGTTCTTATTAAACCAAAAAAGTAAACAAATATCGTCCGCGACCTCATACAAATTAACTAATAAGAATTTGAATGCATGTTGGATATGAAAAACATGCAGTCTGCATAAAATCACAGTTGGTATGAGACTTATATCGAACAAACAGGTAGCACATTATGACATCTAAATCTCATTTGGATGCGGAATAAAGTTTACATTTTCAAATAGTATACCAGAAATTTTGAAAACAGAAACTAATCCAAATTCAATACTCTTACCTCAGAGGGTTAGCAAGCAATCTCTGCCCAATAGTTACAAAACAAGTCTCTTGATTTGACATAAACCATGCAAGAGATGAAACACTGCAAAATTAACAGAAGAGATGCTAAGCCACACGCATGCGCACCAAAGATCAAAGAATCTATGGATTTTTAATTATTGTTGCATTGGAAATCCTGCTCCAGAGCCACAACACAGCATATACCTGCCAGTGAAAATATGCTCCCTAAGTCCAAGTATTGTCGGAAATCTAACACCATCATGCTTCACAAGAAATTCTTGCAGTAGGTTCCTCATTTTGAATGCTTCTTCTAAGTAATTATCCTGTTGGATAAATACAACAATGTCGTTAGGTTAGGAGACAGAGTTTCCAAGAAGTCCAAGCAGACAGAGTTCATACCTATACAGCAAACGAGGTCAATGCCTTATTTCAGTGTGACTGTCTATCTCGTATCAAACTTTCTTTCCCGAAAAAAACCTAGTGACTTCACACAACGTTCTAGCTACTATAAACGTGAGGATTGAAACAGGTAAAAGAATCTTGAAACCACTTACAATGTCCAATCCCTGCAATAGAAAAATTCATCCACCTCCCCCTTTTTTTTTTTATTTACGTTGGAGGGTTTTGAACCCTGGACCTATCCTAGTCCTACCGTCACCCTCCCAACCCTCACCTCTGGGTTAACCCTTGTGGCTCTATTTCATCCACATTTTTCATTTCCCCTTCCTCTAGATGACACCAGTAGGCCATCATTTTTACTCTACTTTATGTTAACAAATAGTATATTCGTTCTATCACGCACACAAAAAGGGGAAGAAGTTTTAGCTTGGTTAAACAAGATTAACTCAATTATAGGAAGGTTACTAGGATTGATATAATATTCTAGAAAAGTCTGATTTGATGTAATTTGTACTTTGCATTTTCTAATCCCTTTTACAGCTACCCTCAATATTGGAGAAGTATAGTTTAACCAAACCCTTCTCATTCTCTATTTTCAACACAAAGCATGTACATATGATCTTTTGTGTGTGCGTGTGTGTACCTGGTTCATATCTATGGTTTGCAAGCCTTCCCCACGTGTGAAAATGATGGCGTGGTTTTGATTTTCTGGCTTTCCCCCTCCCAATATTGCAGGTCCAGGAAGCTTTATCCGATAAATATCCTGTAAAAGAAGATTAGGTAATACATTATAAAGCATTGTTCATGTACAGAACATGTATTTGCCATGTTAGAGTTCCCTATGCTGGATTTGCTTAGAACAAAAATTACTAGGAGGAGACCGCCATGAATCTCTTACAGGTCTACGAGGCTCTGCCACAAAGGTCTCAAATTTCTATAGAAAAGTACTGCCACTATCCAATATTAAATATTACTCAAATTATTACCTGGTCCAACCTTTGAACTGGATCAGAAGAATCAACTGACTTAGTTGGAGGAGCCGCCTTTACAAGAGCCGAATAGTAGACCTTCCAAACATTCTTTTTGGATTTATCTTCACTAGTTTTCTCTACCTCATCAATGTAAGCTACTCGAAGAGATGGATAACTGCAAGAGGGAAAATTAAGCGATATAAATCATGACTGCTTCTATAAGTAACAAAACTCTACAAAGACCACCTTGTGCTTTCGTGACAGAAAAGTGTCTTTTAACTTAGAATGTCATCACATTGAAAATTAAAACACAACATTCTCTTTCCTAGCAATTAGGAGGAGCAAAAGTAGGACCTGAGGGCGTTAACCATACAGTAACTGCTGAAATTAGGGACCACAGTAACCAACAAATTTTATCAAATAACAGGATACAAATACATTCCTTTTTTCTTTTGTTCTATTAATTATGCGTCCGCTAACAATTTTACCCTCAAATAATATTTTTCTTGTAAAATAGTTAGGACCTTCTTTTTAAATTTGTAAACCACTTAAAGCTTTGACCTTGGGTAAAAAGGCCTGGCATAATATAACTACTTCGCACAAAAACTTGATGTTTGCTTAATCTATTAGACTACACTATTAGCAATTCAGTATACATTTCACAGACATAAAAAACTAATTAACTAGATACTAAAGAACATACGTTGCCATAAGTTTCAAAATGTCCTTGGAACGAGCATCTCCAGATCGCTTGTGAATTCCATATTGTTGGCATGACACAACATATGAGAATTTCATATCAACCACTGCCTGACATTGTGCCAAAAGTGACCTTTCTGCTTTTGAGTGTTCCTCAATAGTTGATTCAGCAGCCTTATAGCCTTCCATTAGCTCTAATAATGAGGAAATTTTGAAATCAGCATTTCAAAACTTAACCGTACAAGAGATATTGGTAATTGGTAATTACAAATTTACAATACAAACTAAACTTGATTACCTTCATCTTTTGCCATATCAAGGAAGGCCTGAAGTTCCAAAGCTTTGCGGTAATACATCATACCCCGTACTATAATTGAAAGAATAGGAGAAGACAACTCAAATCGTATAAATGTAAAATAACACATCAATCAAGTTTCAAAGAGAGGGAGAGAGATCTGCGTTTTTCTTATACCAGTTTTGGTCAATGTTTGGCCTCGATAGGATGCCCATAGACGGAGTTTCTCTTCCAATTCATCGTTTTCTGTGAGTTCTTCTTCATTTTCACACTTGACCCGCTCAAGAAAGTTAGTCCATTCATCTGTAACCAATCATGGATTGATAAATATAAAAGAAGAAATTGAGACAAAAGGCAAAACAATAAACAGAAAACAACTAACCTGGAAAGATCTTCTGCAAGTAGAAAAGGATAGAGACACCATCTTCGTTCTGCCATTCCAGATGTTTTTTGGAGAAAAGAACGTCTTCTGAATAGTATGGTGTCAAAACCCTACGAAGTAATCAAAACCATGTCAGGCAATATGTAGCTACCAAAATAATTTACTCCCCAAAAAGGATAAAGTGATCTGCCATACTATTTTTTTACAACTTATAAATACCAAGAAGTGGTTGAAAGAAAAGATATCTCCCAAACTTATTAGATTATTGCACTTGAAAGATTATATGCAATTGTGTAAGATGAAAATCGATTGAGCGGTGTTTATTCTGATTAGCTAACAGTATTTTATACACATTATATGACGCATATCTTAGAGCATACATGGTCATTGGAGAACTTTAGTGTTACTAAGTCAATTGCAGTTCAATTTGGTAATTTCTATTCTTGTCTGAACAGTCACACAATGGTGTAGCGAAGATGCTAAATCTATGAGTTGTCTACGCTTCCGCAAACGGTTTAGTTGTTCGGACTGGTTTAATGCAAAAAGTTATCCACTTCTCATATCCTGTGTCAACACCTGGCTGATAATTACAGCCTCAGCTTGAGAAAATAATAAAGAAAAATTATCCTATGTCCATGACAATAATTGACACTACCGGTCACCTGTGAAAGTAAAAATGAAATAATAATGAAAGAAAGTCTAAATTGAAGAGAACATACGAGAAGGAAAGCATATTTCGAACTTTGGGTGCAGGAGGCATGTCCATAAACAACGAGTTGGAGAAGAAAGAAATGCGCCTTCTTGCTTCCAAGTTGGATGGGACATCCATAGCAGACTCTTTCTCTGTAAGTAATAGATGTAGCCTTCTGATCTGCAGAAGATGATGGACTCAATTAGGAGAGAGAAAAGATACGAAAATAAGAAGATATGAACAAAAAAACTTCAGACTGAGAAACCAGATAGGAAAGGCCTGCACTAGAAGGGCTCGTCCTATAAACATAAAAAGCATGAATATTCTGGGCCACGACAAGGCGTTTGCAGCTAATCCTACAACTAGCACTGAAATCATAATTTTCTCAAGGAAACATTACCTTTTCTTTCCAAGCTCCTGTTTTTGCAGTCACTGGGACTGGGAACCTCAGTGCACCAAAATATGTATCCCGTTGATCAAGGGGTGTCATTCCCTCATCTTTTCCATGTAATCCATCACTCGACTCTAGCAAGCTGCATGAAAAAGAAATATAAGGGAGGATTGAGGGGAATATCAAAATATTTACATATTCGAGATATTGGGATAGAACTCATTTACTTGGGACTTTCATCCTCCATTATGTCTCTTGTCACAACCTCTAACATGTTGAGCAAGACAATTACAACCTGGTCCTTGTCCTCCTTTTTGTTTTCCATCTGTATTCATCAGAAAGATATGGTTGGGACTAGCTACTACCTAGGTTAATCAACAGATATATGAGAGTTTATTGTCAAAGAAGAATACCAGATATTCAATTAACTTGACAAATTGTTCATGGAGACTTGGAAGAGCACTCATATTGAACTCTGTTGTCAGGTTTCCCTTTTCAATATGATCGTCAACTATGGCGAAGATTTCATTTATATCCCTGGACAAAGGAAACATCAGGAAGATAACACAATCTGGCAGATGAAGCTAAGTTTTCTATTATTTCAGTTCTAATTCAACTAATATTTTACTCACTTCTTTTCACGATCTCCAAGGACCAAAAAGTTAATAATACTTCTAAACGAGAGATAGCATTCGTGAATAGCACAGCGCATATAATTGTCAGTACTCATTCTCTTTTTCAGCTCACGGTCTTTATCTTTGCTGTCTTTTGCCATGTCCAGTGCTATCGGGATCTATAGAATTACTGCAAAGTCAGTACATTTATTGGTCTTGGCAAGACTAGTGGAAAAAATTTCATAATATAGACCTTGCTAGCAAGCAGAAAAGGAGGCCACTGGATTAGGTCTACTAAATCTGGGTCAGCCCCATATGGAACGAGCAACAAGTTCATTTCCCTGCAAAACAAATACAAGTATTCTAACTCCAACTGTTTTATCCAAAGAGTTAAAGAATGCAGTTCCTTACGTGGCACATTATTTACCTATCACTAATCAGATCCTCTTCTCTGAAACTGCTAATTATTTCGTTCCACATCTGTGCAAACTTTGCTGCTTCCTTTTCTTTACTAGATGGGGTCTGAAACAGCCAGAAAAGATACAATGACTCGAATGTTCTTTCAGAGATTAACAGAGAAAGACACCAATTTCTGTATTGAAGATCATATCAATATTGGTGGCTTCTAATGCAGAACAGTGATCAAACCTTATCAAACTTGCGAGAGAAAGTGGCTTTTAGTATTCCCTTCTTTTTAGTCTGCTCATTCCTTTCCACTGGAATCAAAAAACTATTAAAAGCACCTGGCAGTGATTCAAATCGAGACCGCAACATTCCCAGCGTTCGAATCTGAAAGAAAGAGAAACATCTGGTAAGGTTTTTTAAGTCCCAAAAACCTACAATTAGCGCCCCCAAAAAAAGCATGAAGCAGATGACCATATTGTACTTCTTAGTCTAGAGTTTATAGACAAATTCATGCTAAATTCAATTTAGCAAATAAATTATTAAAGAAAAAGAAAGTATTTCATGCTTTTAACCATGTTCCAGAGAAGGACGGAACGCAAGTTTTCTTTTGGAAAAAATAGTTCCATAATCCGAATCATCTACTTTAGACCTATAAACACAGATGCATAGGTTTACGTGGGACTACAACAATTAAAGAGACAGTCTTCAATTGAAAAAGACAAAACTAAAATCTGAAGATTTAATTTATCGCCACGATATAAAAAAGAACAAGAGAAAATAGAACTACAATGTACAAGATATTCTATTGAAAATGCTGGTACTGAAACTAACTGCGGATCATACTCCCTATTTTGCAGAAAGAGAAGTTTTCTTCCTGTCAAATGGCAAGAACCTCACACAATTAATATATCTCCAATTTAAATCCTAAGAAATCATACTGGGAAAAGTTAAAAAGTGTACATAAACCTGGAGTACTTTTAAGCAAACCCCCAATGGAGGCATTGAGAGTCCATTGTAGATTCACCATGACTCGAAAGCAAGTCATTCTAACTATCCAGGTTCTTTTTCCATTTCAAATGAAATCCCCCAAAGTGATTGATAAAGATGGTTGGGCTATAGAACACTGGACTTATTGAGCTTCATCAATATGTAATCTAATATAAAGAATAGGATTTATATAAATATAATACTCCACCAACCTCTCCAAGACGGCGAAATGCACCGTATATACCTCCGAATATTGTGGAAAATATGGCATACCAAATTTGAGTATCCATAAAGTAGACCTACAGAGAAAATTAAAATAAATGAACACAACCAAGGGAATGATAGACACTGATGTGAAAATGTGATAAAGAGTAACATACAAGAACAATGGGAGTCCATAGCGAAATCACCACACCAATGTTATTCTTGGCTGAAAAGGTTTAAGTAATGTCGTCATAAACCATCTGTATAATACAAGGAAGTTTTTATCACTCGTGCATTTACCTTGAGGGAAGAACTCATGCCATTGGTAGGTCTTTACGCGAGCCCTCATTATATCTTTAGTTGGTTTTACAAGAGGCCTAATCTGTAACGAAGAAAAAGAAATGGTATTATTCAACCAATTTTGCACCAATTTTTCATCAGGGGAAACAAATTTATTAACAGAAAATAAAATAGAAAAACTCAAAAGGAGTTGACCATGAACCCAAAAAAAATGATCGCACGAAAAGACATCTACAAAAGTTTCAACAAAGAAATTATCCTATAGCTGCCTTCCAATCTAGCAAAATAGTGGAAGAAAATGATCCCTGAATTGTGAACAAACGGTTTCCCAAATTGAAGATAGAAACCTCACCCTCTCCCAAAGCTCTTCCACCCCTACCACCCCCCCCCCCCCTTATAATTGTTAAAATTCCTCATGTTCCTGTCCATCCAAATCGTCCACAAATAGTCATCCTACATAAACCCCATAAACTCTAGTCTTCTTTCCTCTCTACCCAAAATGGCACCCATTTGATATTATTACCCAACACACTTCAGCATCCCTGAATAAATACCACAAACAAAGAGCTACTGGACAATGAACAAAAAGATGTTCTCATATGCTACACAAACTACGAGAGAGACAACAATTAGGTCTCCTTTTTAGAAGCAACTCACATGTATTAACCCTAGTGTGAGTAGGGATGGGCACGGTACCCATGGATATACTCCATCATCACCATCACCACCCCAATTAACACTACTCATCACCACTCATCATCATTAAGACATTAAAACATAACTAACAACTCATGGCCCATGTAGACCAAATGGGCACCCCAACCCAAATCGCACAATCACTACTTGTGAGCTACTAGCCACCCCAAGATTTTCACCTCAGTAGAGAAAATCGGTTACGATGGTTTGGACATGTGCAACGAAGGCCTACTGACGCTCCGGTTAGAAGATGCGACTACATGACAGAGGTCTAGGGCCGCAGGGGTAGAGGAAGACCTAGGAAGACTTTGGAAGAGAATCTAAGAAAAGACTTAAGAGTACTTGGATCTAACGGAAGACATGACATAGGACCAAGCGCAATGGCATTCTAGGATTCATATAGCCAACCCCACTTAGTGGGAAAAGACTTTGTTGCTGTTGTTGTAGGAACCTTTTGCTTCCTAAATCTCCCTAGCTGGACTAAAGGCTGGTAGACGGAAAGTATCAACTTAAAATCTGAACAAAGACATGCAGGAGGAGTCACCTGAGGATTCCAACCACCAGCACCTCAAATCCTCTGTGCCTGCATACAAACGGACATTTTAAAATGGCAGCCAAGGCTGATAATTGGTCTACCTCAACTTCATTCAAATTTTTTCTGAATCCAAAATCCTAACTTCCCGAAGCAAAAGAAATAAATACAAGCCTGGCACTGACTATACTATGAAACCTGGATAACCTTAAAAGCCAGAGGAAAAGTTGATGAAATTGAGGTTCCACCGGAAAACCAATTGGCAATATGGGAAGTAGCCAAGACCATATAAGCACACAGCAAACCTTGTCCCTCAACAATGTGGGACAACTCTCAACACGCCCCCGCACGTGTGGCGGATTTTCAAGCCTACACGTGGACAACAACTAGGTGACATGGAGCGCGTGTGACTGTTTGGCTTCACACAAGGACAACCCGCTCTGATACCATGATGAAATTGAGGTTCCACCATAAAAACAATTGGCAATATGGGGAGTAGCCCAAGACCATATAAGCACATAGCAAACTTTGTCCCACCAAAGTGGGACAACTCTCAACAAAAGTGACTTCAAAGGCTGTTCTCCCAACAACAATCCTCCCAGAATCCAACACTTTCGTCTTGCCCACCACCAATATGACACTGGTCTTCATCTTTTACCCAAGACTTAAGAAAAGAATATTGAAGCATTTTCAAACAGACTCCTATTATTCAAACGTCATAGACAAAACTCAAATTGGCCAAATGATCACATATAATAAAATCAGCGACGATATGCTAAGTTCATTTCTTATGCGTCTTTCAAGTTCATTGGTATTCTGATATCCAAATAGACTTTAAATCCTTCCTCGAGAAATTGTGGGATAAAAAACATGATGGAAAGGCAAAATTTATGGTGGGAAGTTGAGGCATTGATTTATGGTCAAGGGATGAAGAAAAAGTTACTTTTGTGCCCCCGATTACCTATATAAACAAATAAGTCATTAATTATTGGAAAGAGTCAATGTTATTTCACCAGAGTAAATATTAAACATACACAGACATAAGGTAACATATATCATATACTTCTTTTAGAGGGCAGTGGGGATGCTTGTAAAAGATGAAGATGGACTAAAGAAATATACCTCTACGTAGTAACTGAAGGCTAATTTCGATACAAGCAGGAGAACCCAAAAAAGGGTATACCTATTAAAAAAAAAAAAACAGTCAGTAACAATGAAAGATAAGCCGTTCCCATAGAAAGAACAGACAAATCAAAATCCGTATGCTTACTTGAAAAGAGAAATTGAGCTTTCATGCATTCCCCTTCCAACATAAAGCCGGGTCTGCAAGATATCAAATGATGTTTTATAAGGAGGCAATATGCAGAGGAAAAATAAGAGAACAAAAACTAAATGGCAGGGAAATAAATTATTTGAGGTATCATATCCAGAAGCAAGTGGTTACTGCCTCAGTCCCCACAAAGTGATATATAGAATTTTTCTTATAAGGTCCATCCACATACCTGAGACCACCACATCATGAGCATCACAAGCTTTAAGTTTGACCTTTCAAGAAACCGGCGAATGAATGGGAACATAAACAACAATCCAGAGAGCATGTTTGGAGATAAGTAGATGACAACAGCCAAAATGAACAAAGAATTTGAACTTGGACCATTGCCAAACCAAGTTTTGATGGTCCGTGCAAATCCAGTAGGATCTTTCCAACTAAATGCGTAAGTCACTGGTAAAACAATGACCCACGCTGCAGCTGAAACAGCCTTCAAGACATATCTTAACTTGACAAAGACTGACATGCTTTGCCTAGCTTTCCAGCTCAAAATTAAATCAAGAACAGCTGTAAAGAAAATGAAATGATGAAAAAACCGTTAATAAAAAAATGAAGGTCCTTGAATGAGTCTTATGAAACTCTAAAATCAAGTCTTGTATGGTGTTTTATTTGTTTCTTTTCTTCGTTTTTGTGGTTTTTCCTGCTCTACTTAGTCACATAGTTTTTCCATCTTGGATTTTGCAGGTAAAAGTTATTTTATGTTATTGCTTCAAATTATTTGGATGTATATTGTTTGATAAACTAAACAAAAATAATAAACCAACAATAGCAATGGCAAAGTCACATGATTTTTTATACCTTGTGCAAGCTTCAATATCGCAGCAGTTATGAAGATACTCAGCACTTTCTTAAAGACATCACCCTCAAACATGGAACCTAAGTCACCCGACCCATTCCAAGCAACAATGATCATTGCCTAAAGAAAATTACATCGTTCACATAAGTCCTAAGATTAAACAGACATAAACATAGTTTGGTAACAAAAATAGACATAAACATAGGGGAGAAAGAAGGTGATAGTAGAATAAAAATTACCTGTAAACTCAATATATAAAAGCTCCACATCCTATCAAAACTTCTGAAAATGTGCAAAAATGAGCGTATTTCGACAAAGTTTACTTTGCCAATCCATCGGTCCCCAGTATATGGTTTCTTTCTCTGAAATCATAAATTACAAAAAAAAGAAAAACATTAAAACCGAAGAGTACGATGAGAAAGAAAATAGCTTTAGTAATTTTAAAAGAAGTGTTTTGACCTGGTTAATCTGATTCCTACTTAAACATTTATTAAAAGTGGAAGCTTTTGAGTTTTCCTATAGAGACTAATTTCAAAGTATTCTAATAACAAGGCACTTAGGATTAAATTGCTACAGTTCACAACTGAGTTTTTCCTGGTTACATTAGTGATATACAGAAACCAGGGATGATCGACGAGGAGAGAATGAAAACGAATATTTTGTATCCACAATTACAGCTTACCTCATCTCTATCACCTTGAATATCGTCGATAGGCTGGCAAAAGAAATCAGCATCCGCACGCATAGGCCAGCCTAGCTTAAAACAATCAACTGACCTACAATTTCAAACCAAAATGTTTTAGTAATGTACAGTCTTTCATTGGTCAAAGCAACATAAACAAAGAAAAGAATGTACCAAAAATATTCATTCAAGTCGTCATAATTTCTCCATTGAGAATGCTTTGATTTTCCTCCTTTGCTCCTTTTAGCCTCCTGTAAAGACCAAACAACAAATTTAGCAAGATATGACGCAGATATTCTAGTGAACCAAGTAAAGGTAGCAGAAGCAACACCTTTGCTATTGTATCATATATTGGAGTGACTACTTTCGACAAAAAGGCCTCATCTTCACCACCATAGGCTGGCTTTATGTGCTCACCTGTCAATGGACTAACACTCCCAGCTAGCATTCCATACAATTCAAATGCCATCTGCAAGGGGTAAATAAAACTGCTAAACATAACATAGGCTTTATCCCAATTATTAGGGCTTGGCTCAGGAATAATAATGATTACATGGTAAGAATAATTTAACTTATGCAATATATATCAATAAATTCAATACAGAACATGATATTATCAAACTTCTCCCATAAATTAACTTTGAACCTGAAAATATATTGTTTGAAACTCATTAGTCTATAGAACATATGGTGCCATTTGGTTTGACATATCTATAATACCAAACCAGTGAATCTTATGAAACTGTTTAACAGAAAAACCAAGCAGATAACATAAAATGTAAGAACTCATAGTAACTTACTAGTTTTCCTCTCTAATTACATATATCATGAAAATAGCATAATTCAATGACCTACATACAGATTACATAGCTTCTAGAGGTTTATCACTGTTCCAATTGAAAAGGATGTTATACTTTGTAAGAATACAATGCTACAAGCCTACAAGACGTTGTAAAGTATAAGATTTTTAAATTGCGTTGCACGAATATGTATGTTATAAAGCAAGGTAACAAAGACATCTTAAAGCGTACATGATGATAGATATAGCAAAGGCATTCTGGCATGAATCTCAAATTTGCAGCTTCTCCCCATATAAGAAGATATAAACCCATGTATAGCAATTTTCGTTGCTGTACTTCCTGCTGAATAGTTGGCAGCCTGCCAGTTAAAAACAATGTTTGTATGTTAATAGAATGGAAACAAAATGAAAGAAGCACATCCCAGTATTGCATTGGATTACTATAAGCACCGAGTAAAGAAAGCAATTCTAATGCTGCTTGTAAGAAGACTATCACAATTCCACTTAACATTTACAACAACACATCAGTGTTATACTAAATCACTCTTTTTTCAAATAGGATTCCTCACCAAAGGCTACTTTTCCGATCCAGGTATTTACACCACTTTTTGTAATTTTTGAAAAGCTTCTTCATCACATCCGTTAAAGCGCGATCATCCAACTATACAGAAAAAGATTTGGCATATAGAGTAAGGTAAGAAGGGGATGAAAACTAGTTCAGAAAGTGAAAATATAAGGTAGAACTGAGAAGGATAAAGACCTTGGGTTGTTGATCAGGATTCGGTAATTGCCGTATGTGCACATTAGCAACCAGCAGAATCAAGTGTTCCCTTTGATTTGCCACATTATCTTTCTGCAAATTAATGAGCAGAGCATAGATGCTGATGAAATATGAAAAACTCAGTAATCTATGACACTCAGTTTGATTAGTCAATAGTCACTCACCTGAAAGCCAAACATGGCCTGAAGCCAGTCTAGAATGTCTTCATCTACTTTCTTTTTGTGGGCCTTCGGCCATGGTAGACCCCTGGTGTTACGGAGTGCAGAAACAGTAGCATGAATCTGTCAACAAAAAACAAGAGGCAATGTATCACCTGTAGTCCAATGAATAAAATAAAAAAATTCCACTAAATGAACAGGTTGAAACCTCGGGATATCTCATGATCGCCTGATTTTGACTATCAGGATCAAGAGGAAGAATATTGTAAGGTACATATATCTGCTGTTTTTCTTCAACCTTGGTATGAGCTTCCAAAATCTACATTACAAAAATTACAGATATATTCTTACAACAAAAGAAACAAGTGTAAGTGAACATTAGTATTATGCAAAAGTTACAGGTCGAAAAATTATGTATCACCTCCTCAGCTACTTCAACAGCCTCCGTCTGATTGACAGCCTTCAAAACCTCAAATAAAACAGCAGCAGTTTGGTATGCTTTTGTAAGTTGTGCCCTATATAAGCAAAAAGAAGATTAAGAACCTAAAGTAAAACAAGTAACAACTCTTCAATCAAACAAAAAACAATTCTTTACTCCTAGAGACAGACCGATCTGCTTTATCAGCAGCATTCTGCAAAGCTTGAATGTATTTTTTGTAGTAATCTCTATAAAAACTCTGCATTTCCCGAGCATCACTCTTTGCCCTTCCTGCCAGTGTTGTTTCATTTTCCTGAAAATAAGGAAATGACAAGAGTAATATCTCTGCTCAATTCCAAATAACTATCCTTGGCAAAAACTAGAAAACAGATATTTTCCGAGAAACTAATAACTTCTTTCAGAAGAAAACTACTTATTCCTTAACATGTCCAATGTGGACTTTGAACTTCCAGCCCTCATCTTATGTTTTAAATTCTTTTTTTTTTCCAGTCCTCAACTTATGTTTTAAATTCTGTTTTTTACAATAATCTGTCATTTATGATTTATTCATCATTTCTTCTTCTGTTTTTAACCCTACTTGTTTTTTATGCCCTTGGAAGACCACATCACATGTATGAAAACAAGAACTTGTTGGAAATACCAAGGGAAATTAAAGCTTACCCTTTCTAGACGCTGAAGAAGTGCAGTTTTAAACTGGCGAACACCACGTCCACTAGATGTGGGATCTAGTCTGTGAGCTTTCTCAAAGGCATAGAACCGACCTAATTCCAACATAGACGTTAGTATGGATTGGTTTCCTAAACATATAATAAAGTACATAAAAAATCCATTGGGTTTATCAAAACATCGTCATATCAAGAAAATTTATGGGGGAAATAGCAAAAACAGAGTGAGAGTTCACCTGTTAGAAAAACAAGAGATGTGTATATATTTGTGTCAATTTAGACTATTAATTAGGTGGAACGTGATTTAAATGTGTAGTTAAAATTGACACTTTGGCAACACAAAACATAATATGACAGATATCCAGCAAGAGAACATTACCCTAAACACACACACACACACACACACAGAATCAATTTCTCTAGCAGGATACAGCATTGCGGCGTGTGAAACAACATTTAAACCACTTGAGTATCACACAGTGCTGGATCCTGTTTTGAAAGTTTTTCATCAATAAATAATAAGATATGTATATAGTATAACCTCGAGCACTGTAAGCAATAAGTTAAAGAAAAAAGAGGCGTTTAGTGAACAAGTCAACAGTCCATGTAACTGAGGTATGCCCCCCACCCCCCAAAATGGGTGGCATACCTGGGGTTTGCCTGGGTTAGGGATTCCTCATCAATCAAAAACAAGGTGGTACATGTATTAACCAAATTCATCATGTATTCCTTTCACGGTGGACAAAACCTAACATTTGAATCGTGTGTAATTATCGACAGTTACTATGGGAATATAGTCCACACTACAACATATCCAACTGGTTTCATGAGCTCTGATTGATCAGAATTAATGATACCTAAGCCAAAACAAGCACGATTGTTAAGACGGATAATAGAATACAAGCGTCCAACTTGAGAAAAAAAAAAGGTGCAACTCACATAGATAGGCAACTCTTGGATTCCTGGACTCAACTTCGTTTGCAACACGGAGAATAGGAGCAATGTCAACGAGGGAAGAAGGCACCACCTCACTATCCAGCATGGGCTCTCCAAAACTCCCAGCAGTCTGGGTGCGCAGAATCCGCCTCTGCGGCTGCCCTTCAAACCCTCCTCTTCGATATGCCATCTCTAGACTTTAAGCCCTGAAGACCAATCAAACTAACTTGTGTACCTGACCCTGACTACATGTTGATATCAATGACACAAGCATATATCAGGAGCAGAGGAAAGGCCCATAATTTCCTAATCGCATAACGATCGGTATGACTGAACTGAAATCCCAACTGGGATGCCAAGTAAATATGGGTTCAGGCAAGCAGAGAACAATTTCAAAAATTGCAATCCATGGAAACCATGAAGTTGAGTCTAAATGTAATTGAACAGTTTAACTCTCTGTTTTCTGTAAAGTTTCCAACTTTCCATAAAAAACTCCAAACCCTGAACAAAAAATGAAACATGTAATCCAAGTCGTGTTTTTACTCTTTAGCAGCAGCAAAACAAAAGGAAATCGAAATACAAAAGATAACAAAAGGAAACGAACCACCTTGCCCTTGCCTTTGCAGGGAAAAAAGAAAGCTTACTAGACCAAAACAAGAAAACGATATGTATGTGCGTGTATGTTGCGAAATCAAAGATTTGATTTGATTTGATTTACCTTTGTTCTTTGTTCCAATTTCTACTTCTACTTGGATGCAACTGAGATTGTCTGGGGAGCCACAGAAGCAAAAGATCATATGATATGATGAGAGGGTCCTGAGGGAGGAGGAAGTGGGTAACTTCTGGGAAGTTTCAGGAGGAAGAGGACCATAGCGAACAAGAAGGACGAAGAAAGAAGAAAGAAGAAAGAAAAGCGCTTTTTTTTTTAAAGCAAGTATACACTTTACCAGTTCCTGGAGATCCGTTCAAGTCTCCAAAAAACAATAAAATTAAGGGAAACACATGGCACCCTTGACAGAGAGACTGAGAGACGGAGAGACAGAGACTCTTCTCTGATTAGTGGCCTATGTAAGCGCTAGCTACCAATAATCAATCATACAGGGGCGGCAAAGATAAGGCAGAAATGCATGTCCAAAATATCTCTCCACTCCAAGTCAAGGCTGGCAGAATCGCGTACCCAAAATATCTCTCTCCTCTCCAAGTCAAGGATGGGTCCCACGTATCACTAGTCAAGGGTGCCACGTCATTACTTTAGTTTCTCTCTGTCTTCTCTCTCCTCTCTCTGCGATCTGATGTGCCGGATACTATTGGCGGGTTGGGTGGAAAATCTGGGGAACTGAACAATCTGACATGGAAAGTCCAATTAAGTTTTCCTAGGGTAGGTGGGTCACGTGTATGCACTACGTATGAACTATGCATTGCAACTTTGCATGCACTTGCGATACGTGTGACTGACTTGCGGTGCAATTGCATACATGCCCCGAAAGCACCCATGGTCCAAAATGCCGATATTATCGGTTTTGAGGAGTACCGATTTTTTTTTTCAATATCCAACTAGTTTTCGGGATAATATCGCGATATTATCGAATTTATCGATAATATCGGACCCTGACCGAACGGAGAAGAACGTCGGAGCTGTAGAAGCTCCGGCCGACTGTAAAACAGGACCCTAGACTCCGATCTAGGTATGAAAATGAAAAAGAAGACGAGATGAACATTTTTATATATGAAATTTGCCGTGAAATCATCGCAGGTGTTCAGAAATTGAGTCGACACGCACGGCCTCGCCGGAGTTCGCTGAGTTGCAGAGATGAGAAGGAGAGGGAGAAAGACAATGCTGATGATGATGGGTGTGCATGTGTGTATGTGGGTCTTGGACCATCGGCGCAGAGAGAAAGGAGAGAGACGACGGCGGCGGCGACGAGGGAGAAGCAGAAGCCGATCTGCCGATGTGGGTCTCTGTGCGTGTGTGTGGGAGTGGGAGAAGGATGCTGATGATGATGGGTGTGCATGTGTGTATGTGGGTCTTGGACCATCGGCGCAGAGAGAAAGGAGAGAGACGACGGCGGCGGCGACGAGGGAGAAGCAGAAGCCGATCTGCCGATGTGGGTCTCTGTGCGTGTGTGTGGGAGTGGGAGAAGGATCGAGAGACATTGGGTCTCCGTGCGTGAGTGTGTGTGGGGGGAGAAGGATCGAGAGACGTACGTGGGTGGGATTGGGAGATCTGTGTTTGTTGTTGGTTGTGTGGCCCGTAGGAGAACGGAGAAGGGGGAGAAGGGACTCAGAGAAGAGAAGAGAGAAGGTTCGAGAGAGTCTGAGAGACCGTATGCGTGTGAGAGGTGAGTGTGCGTGGGTTGTGTGCGTGTGTGGTGTCATGTCGGTGTGTGTGTGTGGTGTCGTGTGAGGTGACTGTGGACCTGTGTATATAGACATATAAATATTATATAATACATTCGTAACCTGTAAAGCTGTAACACCAATAATATTCTTACTTTTTGGTTTTAGATTCTAGCAATACTTGCAAAAAATTTATGTGGCCCTTTGATGTGGTTGGGTCATCTCATCTGAGATGCCTGACTGATTTCACAATATGTCCATAACTTTTTGCAGTTTCAGACCATGGACATCAAATAATACTGCTTTTATAATGAAACCGTGTCCGTGTTCGTGAGTGCGTGAGTCCGTTATATTCTTTCACATGCAGAACAGTGTGTCATTGTCTATTATATTCTTTCACGCGGCACGCCTTATCAGAGGTGGAGTATCACTATCAGAGGCATTCAGCATTTTCGTTTCTTCTTCTTCCCTTACCATTTTCAAAGCTATTCCAGATCCATTCCAAAGCTTGAACACAAACGGTTCCATATTTAAGGTAAGTTTACAAACTTAAATTTATATTATTGTAATTTATACAACAACAAATAAATTTGTATGGACTCGTATGTTAATTTTTTTAAGTAATTAATACTTGCATGTTAATTTTTGTAAGTAATTAAGTAATGTTAACAATTACATGTTAATTTTTTTAAGTAATTAAGTAATGTTGTATAATTATTCCCTAGGATAATTTTAATATGTTTAATGTTATTTATTATTTTATTAATATTAGGTTTTATTATCAAATTGGATTATTATTCATTAATAATAGGTTTTTTATTATCAAATTGAATTATTATTCATTAATATTAGGTTTTATTATCAAATTTGATTATTCTTCATTAAATTGGATTATTATCAAATTGGATTATTATTCATCACCATGTTTTATATTAGGATTATTTTTTTATCAAATTGGATTATTATTCATTAATATTAGGTTTTTTTTAATTATCAAATTGGATTATTATTCATTAATATTAGGTTTTATTATCAAATTGGATTATTCTTCATTAAATTGGATTATTATCAAATTGGATTATTATTCATCACCATGTTTTATATTAGGATTATTTTTTTATCAAATTGGATTATTATTCATTAATATTAGGTTTTTTTAAATTATCAAATTGGATTATTATTCATTAATATTAGGTTTTATTATCAAATTTGATTATTCTTCATTAAATTGGATTATTCATTAAATTGGATTATTTTATCAAATTGGATTATTATTCATCACCATGTTTTATATTAGGATTATTTTTTTTATCAAATTGGATTATTATTCATTAATATTAGGTTTTTTTTTAATTATCAAATTGGATTATTATTCATTAATATTAGGTTTTATTATCAAATTTGATTATTCTTCATTAAATTGGATTATTCATTAAATTGGATTATTATCAAATTGGATTATTATTCATCACCATGTTTTATATTAGGATTTTTTTTTTATCAAATTGGATTATTATTCATTAATATTAGGTTTTTTTTAATTATCAAATTGGATTATTATTCATTAATATTGGGTTTTATTATCAAATTGGATTATTCTTCATTAAATTGGATTATTATCAAATTGGATTATTATTCATCACCATGTTTTATATTAGGATTATTTTTTTATCAAATTGGATTATTATTCATTAATATTAGGTTTTTTTTAATTATCAAATTGGATTATTATTCATTAATATTAGGTTTTATTATCAAATTGGATTATTCTTCATTAAATTGGATTATTATCAAATTGGATTATTATTCATCACCATGTTTTATATTAGGATTATTTTTTTATCAAATTGGATTATTATTCATTAATATTAGGTTTTTTTTAAATTATCAAATTGGATTATTATTCATTAATATTAGGTTTTATTATCAAATTTGATTATTCTTCGTTAAATTGGATTATTCATTAAATTGGATTATTATCAAATTGGATTATTATTCATCACCATGTTTTATAATAGGATTATTTTTTTTATCAAATTGGATTATTATTCATTAATATTAGGTTTTTTTTAATTATCAAATTGGATTATTATTCATTAATATTAGGTTTTATTATCAAATTTGATTATTCTTCATTAAATTGGATTATTCATTAAATTGGATTATTATCAAATTGGATTATTATTCATCACCATGTTTTATATTAGGATTATTTTTTTTATCAAATTGGATTATTATTCATTAATATTAGGTTTTTTAATTATCAAATTGGATTATTATTCATTAATATTGGGTTTTATTATCAAATTGGATTATTCTTCATTAAATTGGATTATTATCAAATTGGATTATTCATTAAATTGGATTATTCATTTTCATTACTTCGTATTTAATTCTTCTATAGAATAACTTTATTATTTAGGTTCTCTTATTTTATCAAAAAATAATTGTCTAATTTTCATGAAAAATAAATATAGGTACATTTAAGATGTCAAGTGGAGTTACTAAACGTGATCCAGCTTGGGAACATGGAGACCCAATAGACGGAAACAAACATGGCACAATTTGCAAATATTGCGGTCGGGTAATGAAGAGTGGCGGAGTGACACGACTTAAGTACCATCTTAGTGGATTAGATTCAGCAAAAAATGTCCAACGATGCGATAATGTCCCCCCAGAAGTGAAGGCATTCATCAGCACATTATTAAAAAATAAAAAACAGCAGAAGGAAAAGATAACACATGGAATGGAAAATATTCGAGTTGGGCTACGAGGAGAAGTCATTGGCTAAGCGGTTGACAGTGATGATGATGACGATGAGGACGAATGTGATGATGACATGGGACCTGAAGAACGACGCAGTTTGAAACAAGCATTACGTGCCTCTAAACAGTCAGCATGAGAAAGAGAACACCTTCATAAAATTCCTAATAGAGCACAAGGTTCCGGGACAAGTGGTGGTGCACAACTGAGACGGGAAGACAGTCTTAGAGAATCACAACTAACACCACCAATAGCCCCAAGTTTATATAAGTCATCCAAAGCACGTAAAAAGAGTGTTTGGAGTTATTTCACTGGAGGTAATGTGAAGGAGGGAATTGGGCGTCTAATTAGCAAGTTCTTTATCTATGAAAATGTCCCTGCTGAGAAAGCATCATCACATCATTTAAAAAATATGGTAGTGGGATGTCAACAGGCCGGTGTTGGAGTACAACCTCCCACTCCCTATGAGATAAGAAACAAATATTTGGATATGGAGTATAAAGACATTGGCGAGTATGTTAACAAGTTGAGGTCAAAGTGGGAAACTAATGGTTGCACAATCATGTGTGACGGATGGACTGGGCCGACCAGATTGTCTATCATAAACTTCATGGTATACTCCAAGGGAAAGACAATTTTTTTGAAGTCTGTTGATGCTTCAGACCATATAAAGAACTACAAGTATATTTACAAATTATTGAGGGATGTAATCATGGAGGTGGGAGAGCATAATGTTGTCCAAGTCGTGACCGACAACGGTTCTGCATTTGTCAAAGCTGGAAAAAAGTTAATGAAGCATCATAATGTGTTTTGGAAATCATGTGCAGCACATTGTATTGATCTCATGTTTGAGGCAATGGGGAAGAGAGAGAATGTTGCTACTGTGGTCAAAAGAGCTAGAACGATCACAAATTATATTTACAATCACGGTTGGTTGTTGGCAAAGATG